TTGGCCTCGAGCATCGAATGGTTGTGGCATTGAAGCCTGCTTCATATTCAGAGCTTTATTGATTAATTTTGAATAGGGTAAAACATGTTATGCTCATAATTAGCATTGTATGTGAATGCTCTAAATGAATATTGATTTGGCAACTTTAACAAATAATGAAATTGTTTAGATTTCAACTTATTTACAAAGTGGAATTGCATAGTTGTAATTTTTTATTATGATTGAGATGTATCATCTTTTGAAACGAATTAAGTTGCATCACACATGTTATTCTTAAAATAGGAAGCTATGAGAAATCCATTATATTTGCAAGTTGATGAGATTATTAAGATGCATAAATATGCGTTAAATTCATTTGTTCTCTCTAACTCGAGATCAGATCTTCAAGATCATTTGGTTTAAATCAAGGTTTAAAAAAATGTTGATCTAGATCGGAACTGACCAATCAGATCGAGAATTATTGTGGACGAACAGATTTCTGCAAAATATCAGGAATCAACCATTTCCCCCATGACACGGCCAATTCTGACCTGTTCTTTGAGAAATTTGGCTAGAACAGCTTCTGCTTCTTTAGTTATGGAATAGAGAAGAGTCTCTTCTTAGACAGTGGTTTAGCTGTAGAATATAGATGGACAGTGGTTTAGCTGTAGAGTAGAGATAAGAGATCAGTCGGTCTTGTAGATCGGGAGAGAGTGGTCTAAAAGGGTTTGCTCAACTGGGTTTTGTCAAGGGTTAAAGAGGTAACTTTATTTCTTAAAATTTGTGATATAACTTTTATTGGTATAATGAGATTTGGTTTGTCATGCCTGTGGATATAGCCTTTTTAGTGTGAACCACGTAAATCTTTGTGTTTTTGTGGTGTATATGTTTCAATATTTATTTTTTGTATTCGGACTCGTGCTCTCTCCTATTTTGATTCTAGCTGGATAAGCACACGATCTTAGTGGGATCCAACTTTTGGGATTTCTGTTTCCGTATTTAAGAGGGTTTTTAAATCCTAACAAGTGGTACCAGAGCGGATGGTTCAGTAGAGGGTTAGTGTTCGTGCATTCGGATGAAGAAAAGCATGGCAAAGTATTTTTTTTTGAGGTGGAGAAATATGATGGTAAAAATAATCTTTCGAGCAAGAATGATGAAAGAATTTATTTGGCAAATGATAAATTCATAAAGCTATCGATTGAATATTGGCATGTTGAGTAAGTGATTTTTTTATCAAGGTGGAAATTATTGGATATGGTGATATCCAAAATCATCTACAGTAGAAAATTCTATATTATGTGAGATTGGAATTGATATCGATAAGTTTCCAAAAAGAAATAGAAATCCATAAAGATTAAGACTCTAGGATATATCTCTTGGTTCTTGAGATATATGTAAACACCTATAGGAAGTTTCCTATTTACTATGGACTCCTAACCTTATATATATGGGATAAAAGATGAAAGAATATGTGTGCCCTATTTGGGTCACCATAAGGAAAATGCGACTTCCTTTAGAGAAAGAGAGGCAGGGCCTCTTGTGTATAAGAGGCAAGGCCTCCCCTTAAAGAGAAGAGAGCTTCTTACAGAAAAAAACACCATGGATGTTCTTCCTGCAGATTGAGAGACTGATTTTTTATAGAAGATTTTATGTGGACTCCTCTTTTAGTGAGAGAAAGTCTCAGTTGCTCTTAAGGTTCTCTTCCTAGACAACAATTTAGCTGTAGAATAAAGATGAGTTCTTCCTGGACAATGTTTTAAATGTGGAATATAGATTGGTCTCTTCCTAGACAATGGTTTAGCTGTGGAATATAGATGGGTATCTTCTTAGATAATAGTTTAACTATAGAATAGATATAAGAGATCGATGGATAGTGCCAATCGGGAGAGACTGGTCTAAAGGTTTTGGTCGACTGGGTTTTGTAACTCTATGTCCTAAAATCTGTGTTTATTGGTATAGTGGATTTCAGTTTGTCGTGCCTGTGGATGTAACCCTTTTGGTGTGAACCACATAAATATTTTTGTTCTTGTGGTGTATATGTTTCATGATTTATTTCTCGTATTTGAACTCTTGCTCTCTTCTATTTTGTTTCTATCTATATAAGTACACAATCTTAATGGGATCCAACTTTTGGGATTTCTGTTTCCACATCTAATAGGGTTCTTGAATGCTAACAAGTGGTATCATAGCAGATGTTTTAGTAGAGGGCTAGTATTCGTGCATTCGGTGGAAGGAAAATACGCTAGTGGTGTTTTTTGAGGTAGAAAAATAGGATGACAAGAACAATCTTTCCAGCAATAATGATGAAAGAATTTATTTGGCAAATGATGAATTCATAAAGTTATCCATTGGGTGTTGACAAGGTGAGCAAGTGATTTTGATATTAAGGTGGAGATTACAGGATATGATGCTATAAAAAATCATCTACATTAGGAAATCCCATGTTATGTGGGATTGTGATTGGTATTGATTTTTTTAAAGGAAATAGAAATCGATGAAGATTAGGACTCTAGGATATATCTCTTGGTTATTGATATATATGTAAATACCTATAGGAAGTTTCCTATTTAGTATGGATTCTTAATCTTATATATATGGGATGAAGATTGAAAGAATATGTGTGCCCTATTTGGGTCATCATAAGGGAAATGTGTCTTCCTCTAAAAAAAGAGAGGCTGGGGCCTCTTATGTATGAGAGACAATGCCTCCTCTTAGAGAGAAGAGAGCTTCTTATGGAGAGAAACACTATGGATGTTTCTCCTGCAGATTGAGAGGCCGATTTTTGTAGAGAAGTGATTCTCATGTAGATTTTGGGTGGTCTCCTCTTTTAGTGAAAGAAAGTCTCAGTTGCACTTAATGTTCTCTTTCTGGACAACAATTTAGCTGTGGAATAGAGATGAGTTTCTTCCTAGACATTGGTTTCGATGTAAACTATAGATAGGCATCGTCTTAGAAAGTGGTTTAACTGTGGAATAGATATGAGAGATTAGTAGGTCGTGCCAATTTGGAGAGAGTGATCTGCAAGGGGTTGCTCGACTGGGTTTTGTCGAGGGTTAAATAGATAACTCCATGACCTAAAATGTGTGATATAACTTTCATTGGGATAGTGGGGATTTCAGTTTGTCATGCCCGTGGATGTAGCAATCTTGAGGTGAATCATGTAAATCTTTGTGTTCTTATGGTGTGTATGTTTTATGATTTCTTTCTCGTATTCGGGCTTGTGCTCTCTCTTATTTTGTTTCTAGTTGGATAAGTACATGATTTTAGTGGTATCCAACTTTTGGGATTTTTGTTTCCGCATCTAAGAGGGTTCTTAATTCCTAACTCGGATGGTCATTAGTAATTGTTACCTCCTTATACGAAAGGTAAATGGTCCCATGATATACATCCCATATATATATAACCATCATAAAATAATCCAAACAGTGCTGAGTTTGAAAGCTAGAATTAAATGTGCTCAGTAGTCAATGCAAGTAAAGCCTAAAACAGTCAAAAGACCATAGAAAACTACTTCGGAATCAAAACTTGTAATGTTTACTTAGCTAACACAATTAAGGTTACGCAAGAAATCACACTTGAGCTTGTGTATTATTGGCACGGATGGCCGTGAGGCTCTTAAAATTTTTTTTTACATTTATCTTTTGTTAAAAAATATTCTCCTAAATATAATATATATAAATAATATTTTATAAAAGATTTCAAACAGTAGTATGAAAGTTAATTTATCTATGTTATTTAGGAGGTTAGTTTCTCTGTGACTCATTGAGAAAAGAAACATTGGACCCCCTTCATTTTTATATATAAAGGACGTTAGAGAACAAGCTTAAACACGGTGAAAATTTGTTGAGGCTGTGGGGCTTCCTGAAAGTCAAGCTTCTCTCTCTAAAATGGTTCCTGAAAGAAAATTTGAGCTCAGCAGTTACTAGCCTCATGATATGGATCTAAGCTTGGTGCTCATTCTCAACCTTTATATTTGCTTCATGTATGGCATAATAAATTTAAGTCTTTATTTGTTTTTTGGGAAATTTATGTAGAGACATAGAAAACATTTATGGCATTATCAAATCGTCCATATTTTTAGAAATTTATGTGGAGGTCCCTCTTTGTTGTCACTTTCTTTATTCCAGTTTTGCCACCCATCTGATGTTGTGCACATCGCTTTGATTTCTACTTTAATTCTTCTATTTTTATTTTTGTGGTAATATGATGCCATAAATATCGACCAACCCATTTCAAGATGAGTCGGATATTCAAAACGTTAGACCATCCTATCATCCCATATTATAGTTATGAATGAGGCGGTCTGATGTCTTAAAAATTGGACAAAATTATAGAAAAGAAAAAAATTAGATCCGATGTTTGAGACATTGAGGCATCCAAATTATCATTAGTACTTTGTAGTGTGGACGGCTAGGAAGTATAATAAAGACCACACTTTTGATATCTTGGGTCGATAATCCAGGAAAATGTAGAGATTGAGGAAGATGTCACACACAGAATTAGAGCTGGGTGGGCGAAGTGGAGATGTGCAACTGAAATTTTATGTGATCGTCGCATACTGATGAAGCTGAAGGGAAAGTTTTATAGGACAACGGTGAGACCAGCTTTGCTCTATAGGGCAGAATGTTAGGCAGACAAAAAACAATATACTCATAGAATGAGTGCAACAAAATAGAGGATATTGAGATGGATGAGTGGCACGACAAGAAGGGATAGAATTTGAAATGAATCCATTTGGTAGAATTTAGGTATGACACTAGGTGATAAGATGAGAGAGAGAATAGACTTAGGTGGGCTGGCCATGTGTGGCACCGAACAAGTACAACACCTATTAAAATGTGTAATTCTTTATTTGATCTTTCGATTGTTGGCGTTAAATTTACCTGGTCGAATAATTGTACCATTAGTCTTTCAATGTCGAAATTGGATAGATTTTTGGTATCTGCAAATTAGGTGGATGCCTTTCCACTAGTCTCTGTTAGAGCTCTTCTTATCATATCCCCATTTTGTTATACACTAACATGGAGAGAGGTGGGGTGAAGCTTTTTAGGCTAGATATTAAGTGGTTGGAAGAGATGGAAGTGGTAGAAGTCATTAAAACCACTTGGCATAACACAATTTTTATTGGTTCCTTAGATTTTCAATTGCACAAAAAGCTATTCAATATTAAACATAAACTCATCGTTTGGAAGAAAGATAATAATTTCAATGTTCAGTCCAAAATCGATGAGGTCTTATATGAAATTGAAGCTTTGGACCAGCACGTTCAATCTATAGGTGTGTTAACCGAGGAGTTGATGGGTGAAAGGAATTCGAAGTTGAAATCTCTTCATAATCTTCGTAGAGTGGAGGAGCTATATTGGAAGCAAATATCAAGGACAAAATGGTTAAAGGAGAGTAATATGAATACTAAGTTCTTTCATTCTATTGCGAGTACGAGAAGAAGGAAAAATGATATTTCTGGTTTGACTATTCCCGGTATTGACGCAGATGATAGTGTGAAAATGGAAGGGGCTATTATTGACCATTTTAAGAAGGCTTTTTCCATAAAGGTGAAGTTTACTCCAAAACTAGAAAAAGTACCTTTTAAAGTTTTGACAGTAGATATGAGTTCTAATTTGGAGTGTAACATTTCTATGGAAGAACTAGAAGGGGTCGTTTTTGCTCTACTTAGTGATAAGGCTCTAGACCCAGATGGTTTTCCTCATTCTTTTTTCCATCGATTTTGGAACTTGATTAAGTCTGAATTATTAGAGATGGTTAGAGCTTTAACGACTAGGGGTGAGATATTCAAATGGGTTAATGCCACTTATATAGCTCTTATCCTTAAAAAATCAGTGATAGCAGAGTTATCAAATATTTGGCTCATCAATCTTCTGACCAGTCTTTATAAGATTATGGAAAAGGTATTGATTGAAGTTAGTCTTACATTTCTTATCTCTAACATTCAATCTGCTTTCATTCTAGAGTGAGAAATCAAATTTCTATAATCATTATTAAACTTGATATGGAAAAAACTTATGATAGAGTTGAATGGGGGGTGTCTATGAAAATTCTTAATATGGGTTTTGGGGCTAAATGGAGGAATTGGATCTTTGGATGTTTATCATCTGCCCATTTCTCAATACGTTTTAAGAAAAGCCCTATTGGTTTCTTTAAGGCTTCCAAGGATCTTGGCCAAGGGGACCCCATATCACCATTCCTTTTTTCTATCTATGCAAAATGATTTAGCCTAATGATTCATAAAGTGGAAGGTTGTTGGAATTTCTCTGGTTTTAAAGTGGCTAAGATGGGTTCAAGAGTTTCTCATTTGCAATATGTGAATGATATGCTTATTTTTTTTGAAGTAGATGAGACGCAAGTGAAAAATAGTGCTCGATTTTTAGATTGTTGTGAGGTGGCTTTGGGTTTGAAGGTCAGTTTCCATAAGACCTCAATGATAGGTATTAACTGTTCTCCGACCTTGATTAAATATTTATGAAATATTTTGGGTTGCTTGGTGGGCTCTTTCCCTTTTACTTATCTGGGAATGCTAATATCAAATTCTAAGCACTCTATAGTGGTTTGGGATAAGGTGTTAGAGAGAGTCCAAGTGCAGTTGGATATTTGAAAACCGAAATACCTGTCTATGGGTGGTAAGGTTACATTGCTAAGTTCTTGTTTAGCTAATTTACCAATCTACTTGATATCTCTTATTCAAATGCCAGCCTCAGTGATAAAAAAAATTGAAAGAGTGATGTGTAATTTTTTGTGGGGGTCTTTTGGGAAAGGAAGTATCACTTACTTTTGTGAGATCGTGTTTGTACCCCTAAGAGTGAAAGTGGTCTTGGCATTAGAAAGATAAAATATATGAATGAGGCTTTACTTTGTAAGTGGTGGTGGAGAAGTTTTTAGTATACATATCAGCTTTGGTTTCAGGTTTTGTCTTCAAAATATGGTCTGGATAAGCAGGGAATGTGGTTAGGAGGGGGTAGAAATAGAGAGATATCTTCTTTGTAGACGTCTATTTACAGATGTAGGCCAATTGATTATGAGTTATTTTCGTTGAAATGTTGGTTGTGGTGACAACATCTCTTTCTGGCATCATAAGTGGATATGTGATACCCCTCTGAAGCTTACTTATCCGGAACGTTTTGCTAAGGTTTCGCAACCTAATACTAAGGTTTTTGATATGGTTGAAGTGAGAGGTAATCGTGTTGCTTGGAATATTAATTTCCCATATAATATGCCGAGTGAAGATATTTATCTTCAATGGAATGATTTGATGGGTATCTTGGATTCGGTTTATATTTCCCAATGGGCAATAGATGGATTGGTTTGGGAAGTTAAGTGCGATGGGGTATTTTTGATCAAGTCTTGTTATAGGTTCTTTTTTCACGATAGAGGGAGATGGTCTTTACCTGTCGCTGCCAAAGTGTGGAAATGGCATGTTCGCCATAAGGTGTAGGTGTTTTTATGGTTAGCTTTCCAAAATAAGATTCTGATGGTGGATAATTTGATTAGGAGGGGTAAAATTTTACCTAACATATGTTTGATGTGTAAAGCGGATGAGGAATCTGGGGAGCATCTTCTCATCCACTGTCACGTTGCCTCAAGAATTTGGTACTGGTTATTTGGGCTACTTGGGGTTCATGCTTCACTGGCCCAATCTGTGATGGGTTTAGTGTCACAGTTAACCTTTAATTATTTACCTTCCGAGGGTATCTTGGTGTGGCAAATAGCGAGATGGCCTACTCTATGGGAACTATGGAAAGAAAGAAATAGACGGACGTTTGATGGAGAGAGTTTATCTTTTGATAGACTGCTGAATAAAGTCAAACTGTCTATTTGATCTTGGCTTTCAGTTACTAAGGAGGGTTAGGGGATTTCACAATCAGATGTTTTGTTGAATTTTCCAAATTTGTTTTTAATGGGTAGAATAAAAATGAGAACCATGAGTATTTGGGTGGTACCAAAGAGTGGGGGATTTAAGTTAAATTTGGATGGGAGCTCTTTGGGTAATCCAGGTTTGGCGGGCATTGGGGGTGTGGTGCGAGACTGTTTTGGAGAGGTCATCTTCTCATATGCTGGCCCTAGTGGTATAACTACGGCTAATCGATCGGAGTTATTGGCTTTGTTGCAAGGGTTATAAATTTTTTTCTCTAGAAACATCTGGAATAGTTGCACTATTGAAGGAGATTCAATGAACACAATTAATTGGTGCAAGAAGGAGCAGCGTATTCCATGGGAACTAAGGTCTAGCTGGTTGTAGATTATGGATCTGGTGGCTCCACTTTCAATTTCTTTTTTTAATGTGTTTTGCGAGGCAAATTCCTTTGCTGACTTTCTGGCTATAGGGGGGGCCTCTTTGTCCGCTCTATCTATCTCCTCTGATGTAATTTCTTTTGAGTAGATTTTATAAATAAAGTAAATAATATTTGTCAAAAAAAAGATTTGTATAGCCGATCCCAATTAATTGAAAAAAAACTATGATGATGATGATGATGACGACGACTTTGTAAAGTGGTAACATGGCCTTATGCTCTTGAATTTGGCCTGAGTTTTGATTCTTTTGGAATCAGTGTCGAACACACACATTAGAGAGGCAAAGGATGACTCCCACACGTGAGAAACTCATTTGATGCCCTACAATGCGCCAAATGCAATCAAGATCTCAAACCATGATAAATGTTGTTGCCCTATATTAGAATCAATTTACAGTATTTGTTTTAGATGATCAAGAGCCGGCCCAATATTTTGGGTGTGATGTTCCAACTATCAAACTAGCTACTTTTAACAAAAAAACAAAAGGGTTCAATATTTGAAACGTCGGACCAAACAAAAATGGGAAAAAAACTTTATAATATAGTTATCCAATATTTGAGACATCAAACAGTCTTATGTTTCATTTGAACCCTAATTGATCCCTAAACTCCAATAAAGTCCTAGAGTTCAAAAAACTAAAATAGAAAAAATAAAAAGAATTAGTATTATGTTTCAAACATAAATTACTGGGAAAATTAGAAAAAATAAAAAAATGCAAGAAAGTAAAAAATTTCGCATAAATTATGACAAAAATAAGTATTATGTAATAGGATTATATACAATTAGACCATTTACCTTTGATACAAGGAGTTCACAGTTACTTATAACCATCCGATGTGAAATTTGATAGCTTGAGTGTGTCACAAAGTCCGAAAAAATTTCTTTTAAACTTTGAGCTTGGTCAATGAAATAAATGTAGCCACCCAAGTTTACATCTAATAGTCAAGATTAATTGTGAATACCTTATACCAAAGGTAAATGCTCTCATTATATACTTTTCCTAATATAATATCGCAAATATCTTTCGGTTTTTCTATAAATTTTTCTTATATTTTTCATTCCTTTGCCTCTCACTTTTATGCGTATTAATGCATATGTATGAAGGAAGGCCATTGTGTTGAGCAATCATGTTACATCATAAAAATAAAAAAAAACTAAAGTTTAATCGGCAAGGGTCCTCATAAGTTTATCAAAACATTTTGAGAAAATTATGTACAGACTATATTAAGGTCGATTACAAAATAGGAACATGTTGTTCCCAAATTATGGGCAGCACCCCCCCACTAGCGTTTTTTTTCCCCGAGTTACCCCCTGTTAGGTACACCGAACAACAGATAAGTGGGTTTTTTTACGTTTAAATGATCAGAGCCCCACATTTTTGTTACCTGCAATCTCGGCAACTTTCTCCTCATCCCTCTCTTTCTCCATCTAATCTCTATCCCTTCCTCTCTCCCCGCTGCACCTGGTTTAGCTTTAGCGCACCTCATCCTTAGCCCCTCCCTCTCTTTCTCTCTCTAATCTCTATCCCTTTTTCTCTCTCCAAAATAAACATAGAGTCGCCACCAAACCAACCCAAAACCAGGTCCTTGAGATCCCTCTTCTTTGGTCTAAAATCCCCACAAAAAGACCCACCAAACACACCTCCAAATTTAGCTACAGAGGCTGGCTTCAAAAACCTGGCTCAGAACAGGGTCATGAGAGCAGGGGCAATAAATTTCCCTCTCAACAGGAGCCTTTCATAAATTTGATGCAATAAGATGACTGTGAATGGAAACGTTAGAGAGAGGAGAGAGAAAGATAAGAGAGAGATAGAGAGGAGAGATAGAGATATTATGGTGGGTAGCTCCATCTTAGGTTTTTCTCGTGGCAAGAGAGCAAATGTAGCCATGGATGAAGGGAACGAGGAGGGTAGAGAGAGAAAAGAGAAAGAGAAGAGAGAGAAAAGAGAAAGAGAAGAGAGAGAAAAAGCGCATGTTGGGTAATTCTCTCGGGAAGATAGAGAATGGGGCCATCGACAATAGAGAACGAAAACAGAGAAAAATAGAGAGAGAAAGAGAAGACAAAGATAAACATGAGAATCGACCATAAGTTTTGCTTTCAAGTTTTGATGGTGAAAGAGAAAAAGAGGGGAACGAAGGGGAGTTTGGATTTTTAGAGAGAGAGAGAAGTTGTCTGGCATATTAAAAACCGAATAACAGACTTTAAACTTAAAAAACTAAAAGAGTTGTCCGGTATTCTGAACACTGGACAAGTTCTTTTCATTTAAACGCAACAAAACTTACCTGTCCGGTGTTCGGTTTACCGGACAGGGGGTAACTTGGGGAAAAAAAGCTGGGGAGGGAGGGGAGATGCTGCCCGTAATTTGGGAACAACGTATTCTCATTTTGTAATTGGCCCAAAAAATGGTCTATATATAACTTTCTCAAATATTTTACATGGTGGTCCAAATATGAAAAAAAGCCAAAATATTTTATATTACCACAGGAGTGTATTGTATATTTACTCCTTCAAGTAACCCAATATAGGAGTAATTTTAGACACCAAATTATAGGGATGCACTAACATAAATAAACCAAAAAGAAAGAAAAAACCATTTCTATATACTAGAAAAAAAACAATGTCTCAAGGTTGAATAAAGACTATCCAGTTGAAGGACATGATCTTAATG